TATAAACCCAAACCTATTTTAAAATTAAAAATTGACTTAAAATACTAAATACAACACAACTACAGGTTGCGGAGTCAGCAGGAGACGGAAAGTAAAAGCAAAACAGGAAAATGGGCTGTGTATCTGTAGACTGGGCCAGTGCGCAAACAAAAATGGGGAGCAAAGCCCGGGCCATTCGCTTTAATTCCCACCAGGGAGAAACAAACATGGCCAGATAAGGACCCAGGAGATGCAAGGATGGGGCCGAGAGGCGAGAGCAGAACACCAGTGTCCAAGACCCACCTGAGACCCACGCCACAGCAGCCCCTGCTCTGGAGGGCCCCTCTCTGTCCCCATTCCCCCCCCCCAGTCCCTCCCAACTGCCCATGCAGAGCAGTGCCAGACTCGTCGCCATCTGCAAAGTGTGAGCCCCCCACCTCCCAGCGCCGGGAAGATGAAGGAAAACATCTCTCACTTTAGTTTCTGTGGTCTACGTAGCCACAGGTGATTGAATGGTCACAGCAGATTTATTCCCAACAGCCCTGAACTGAAAAGAACCCAGATGGCAACCAGCAGAAGAACGGATACAAACACTGTGGTTCACTGGCATCACAAAGACAGCGTAGCGGCGACCTGTGGCGAAAACACAGATGCGCCTTGCAGCTATCACGCTCAGCAACACAGCCAGACACGAGAGCTAACATACCGTGGGCTTCAATTCCACAAAGTCCAAGGACGGGCGAGAGTCACCTCTGATGGGAATGGCAACTACCTTCAGAGCATACCAACTAGCAGAGGGGCGGAGGGCTGTTTCTGGGGCACACAACGTTCTAGAACTTGATCTGGTTCGCATCCATGTACAAATCCATCAGGCCGTACATCTGAGTTTTGCATACTTGACGGTGTGCGAGTTATGCCCTGACCAGAAAAATGTAAACACCTACAATTATTATTTGGACAGCCCTCCATGAGCTGAGGCAAGAGAGAACAAACCAGTGACACGGCTGCCACTTCCTTCCCACTCTCAGCACCGCCTCACCTCAGCCTCTCGGACATTTTTTGGTATTTTGTGATATAGGATCCACTAGGTAGTGCAGGCTGGTTGCCCTTGAACTCTATGTAGCCCAGGTAGGTCTCAAACTCATAGTGATGCTCCCACCTCAGCCTCCCCAGCACAGAGATTAGAGGTTTACATCACCACGTCTGGCCCCAAGATGCTTTTCATTCCTCTCTTCTAGTCCTTTACGGGCAGCCCTACTAGGGTCAGCGGCTTTCTGGAAGCTGGGTGAGATCCCCCAGCACTCAGCCTGCCTTTGGACAGCTGAGATGTGTACATCTACTTCGAGCCAGGCCCTGAAGCTCCTCCTCTCCCAGCATGAGCATTTTTGTCTCAGCCTGGTCTAAGTGGCAAAGACTCGGGCACAAACTATTTGGGCTCCTTTCCAGCCTGGGCTTTTAGCTCTGGGAAGGGAGAAAGATGCCCACCACATTCAAATGGGCATTAATCTTCCACCAGCTAGCTAGAGGGCAGCAGGGACAGAGTACAAACCCAGGTGTCTGATTCCTATACCCCTGCTCTTCCCACCACTCCCTGGGCCTCCGTCGGGCTGGGTCAAAGTAGCCCCCCATGGCATCTGTGGGGTTTGTCCTCCAAGACGGCCCCCATGGCTCTTGCCTCCTGGTATACACACCCTTATGTGGTTCCTTCCACACCAAACAGGACTGACCTTTGCCCTAAGCTGTTGTAGGAATAGCAACGTGCGCCTTGCTCCCTCAGGAACCACTCACTCATGGGAAACCAGCCACTCAAGCAGCTCTAAGAAGAAGTCCACGGGCCTCCTGTCAAGAGCCAGCCCCAGGCCAGGCATGGTGGTGCACGCGTGTAATCCCAGCACTCGACAGTCTATGGCAGGAAGATTGTCATGGGTTTGAGGCCAGCCTGGCCCACACAGTGAGTCCAAGGCCAGTCTGAACTACGTAGCGGGACCTTGTCTCAGAACAAAAAGACCCAGCCCCAGTTTGCCAACCACAGAGAAGGATCACCTCGACAGGGACCCTCCAGCCCCAGCTGGCCTTTTAGAAGAGTATAGTCACCAGTCATCTTCCGCCAGTCACCCAAAGAGAGACCCTGGGCAAGGCAGCAAGCTAATCCACTCCCGCAGCCCTGACCTCGGAAAACGGTGTCAGACTGGAAATATTTGCTGTTGCTCTGAGTACAACTCGTGAGGGGATCTGGTACCTCGGACACTATGTATACACACCACAGCCCAGCAGAGCACAGCTTACGCTGCGGAATAATCTGGAAGGTGGCATGTTGCGGCATGAAGACTTCACCATTCCCAACAGGGGTAGCTGCCATGGGCTGAATGGAAACAGTATCAGCAAGAAATCCCCAGTCTGTGGGAGACGTGGGGAGAAGAGACCCAGAAGGCCCCGTGGAGTTTGTCCCACACCTCACCTACCTCAGTAAACGAAGCCACATTGTGACCCAGGCAGTGGCCGAAACCCCAGGATCACCCCACATTCTCACCCCCAACATCCCACCCACCAGCTGGGCTCTGGGTTTCACCTCGGAACACAGGCCCAGAAGCCTAGATCCTGTCTCCATACTCTGCACTATAAGCCTATCTCACATGGTCAGTGTCAGCAGCCTCTCAGTCCAGCCCCTGCTCAAGGCCACAGTGGCCATCAGACCATAGCTCCCTGCTCTGAATTCTCCAGTGCACACTGCCTCCTAGCCACACAGCCTTCTGTCAAGGATGCCAAGTTCATATAACCTCAGGGCCTTTGCACTTGCTCTTTCCATCTGCCACATCACCACACAACATCATTTGGTCCCCCCTTACAGAATACTTCCTCCAAGAAGTCCTCCCAAGTTACCCTAGCTTAGTCTCTCTGACCCACAATGCAGGCTAGGTCCTTCTTAACTGCTTTGGCATTTATTGCCCATCTCTCAGGTTAGAACATAAGCCCATGAGGACAAATGTCTGGTCTGTCTTGCTCTCTTCAAACACATGGAAAGAGCTTTACAAACAGTTGTTTAATAAAGCCTGCCTAGAAGCACAGGTTGGGCAAGATGAGCTCCGAGTCACTCTGATCAGAAAATCCAGAAGACAGAGCTCTTCTGTGTGGTCTGGGCCCCCACTGCCCTGCCAGCAGGAGGAAAAAGCCGGGCAGCGCAAGATCTGTGGTTTTGGGAGAGACCTGCCAGCTGGGAGGGGCACACACCACCAATGGGCCCATTTCCTATGCAGGAAAATCCTACTAAAGTCCCATGTGTCCAGCCACAGCCCTGCCAGCCCACCCTCTCCCCTTGGCTGGCCTCCTCTGCAAGACTCGAAGCCCCGGAATGTGCACGCATGGCCATCGGGCTGTACCCCAAAGTCATGTCTGGCGCCCCTGGCTTCACGCACAGACTGCTGCACAATGAGGGCCCTCTTCTGTCACATTCTCCAGCCATGGCTGGGGAATTAGCTCAGTGGCACAAGTGCCTGCCTGGCAAGTGTGATTGTGAATTCAATCCCGGTACCAAAAAAATAAAATGAAGAAGAGAGACCAACATTCTCTGGGCCTCTCTAAGCCTTCTATTCCTTCTGCTCAGACCCTTCACTGCCAATATGTCCATCCCTTAGCCTCTCTCTGCCAATCGATAGAGAATAGAAGTCACACAATCGTTTGGTGCCTCAGTTTCCCCACCTGTAAGGCAACATACTCCTTTGACCTATGTTTTATGTTCTAGTGGAATTAAAAGCATATAACCTGATAACGGATGTGAAATGCTTTATGAGGCCAAGGCATTGTGCAAATATCCACTGTTACCAGGAGACAGGTGCCGGAAAGCTGTGAGAAGGGTGGGCCTGGAGGTTCTAGGATTAAGGCTGGAAACCTCTGCTCCAGATGAACAGAACAAGAGGGGCAGTGGAGGAAAAGCATGCCCCACCTGAAGGAACAGCTGAGGAAGCTACAGGAGCGGAGGATCACGGGAGCACCAAAAGGCACCCACCAGGGATGGACCCCTGAGCATGACACCTGGCCTGGACAGCAGGAGATGCCCCCAACAAGGAGAGTCAGGGCCCAGGCAAGACCCTCCAACCCATCCCAGACCTGCAGCTCCCTCGGCAACCTCTCCCCCAGCGGCGGGACACGGTGCTCCAGCAGGGAGCTTCTGAGCATGGACCATGCACGCTGGGCATTTCACAGGCATCATCTCTGAAGCCCCAGAGCAGCCTCCTGAGGTAGGCTTCTTCCCGCCACCGCCAGGTTCTCTAAGCTCACAGAGGTACGTGAGCTCCTGAGGTCACACAGCTAAGAGAAGCAGAGCCTGAGCTGCGCCAGATGCAGGGGCCCCCACTTCCGGAAGCGTCCGCCCTCCTCCTTCCATTCCCTTCAGGTCAAGTGTGAACAGCAGAGCAGTAGATGGAAGGGCAGGGAGGAGAAACAGTGCAAGTATCTGCTGCCCGGGAAAGGAAAGGGGGAGCGCTGAGTCCCCTCCACAGGGGACCTCCTCCCCAGACTCACAATCCACCCTGGGTCACCCCACAGCCCCACCAACGCCTCTGCCTAGGCCTACGAAGACCTGGGCACTAGCATCCAGCACTCCCCGCAATGTTTCCTTCAGCTTCCCTGCCCCACCAAGATCAGCCAACAAACGCTGATGGGGAAACTGAGGACCACAATGGGGCCTGGCCAAAAAAGCGAGGCTTCCGAGACCCCGCGTGATCCTGACCCCATCCTCCTCCTGGCCTCCCAACTCCGCATGTTTCCTGCCTTCAGCCCAAGAAGGCCTTTGGCTGTGGACTCTTGAGTTTCCCAGGCTGGCCAAAGTGTGCAGACCAGGACGCTGCGCGGCCAGCGGGGCCCTTAAAAGGTACCGCGCTCGCCCCTTGAGAAGCAGGGGAAACAGCTCGAGGCCCCTCCTCGGAGTGGCTCCCGCCAGGGCTCCAGCAGCCGACACCCGGACCCCTGCGCCCGCTCCACACCCCCCACCCTGTCCTCCGCCCCGGCCTTCGCCTTCACCTTGACCCGAGCCCGCTCCCCAGCCCCAGCGCTTTGCATAAACAAAGACAGGAGGAGGGACAACGCGGGCACCGCCCCCGACCCGCCAGTCCCGGACTGTGCGCCGGGCGCATCCCCAAACCCCCCGCAGGGCCCGCCGGCCCGGGGCCCCTTACCTTGGCCTGGCATTTCCGATGACAGGAGAAGCTGCAAGCTGCAAGGGGCGAGACAGAAAGAAAGTTTTAGCCTCGAGGTATGAAATGGAAACTCGGGCGAAATCTCCTCCCACCCCGCCAGAGACCGGCGCTCTGGAGGGAAGGAGGAGAGGAGGGAAAGAGGGAGGGAGAGAGGGAGGGAGGAGGGAGGCAGGGGGTGGAGGGGAGCGGCTGCCGGGGGCCTGCGGACCCTCGGGGCGCGCGGGGAAATGGGAGGCGCGGAGGCGCGAGGAGCACAGGGGCCCCCCCGCTGGAGCCCGGCCAAGGGCAGAGGTAGCCGGGACCCAGCTCCCCGCCAGCCCCGCCAAGCAACCCAGAGGCCTCCCCCCGCAGGCGGGCAGCAGACAGCACCCGCCGACTTCTGCACAAGACAGAACCCCCGTGCGCGCGCGTGCACACACACGCACACACTCACCCACACACACTCACCGGGGATCTCTCCCCCAGACACAGCCGGGTACACAGAGATGCCAAGGGGACCCCCTGACCCGGGCCGCTAACACACACCATTTCACGGGAGACCTTCGGAACCCAGCCTGACACTTAGAGACCACGCGCTTGAGCGCGCGCACGCGCGCACACACACACACACACACACACACACACACACACACACTCACTCACGATTTGCTCCCTCCTCCCACTACCAGAAGCTGGAATCAAATTTCCTATCAGGTTCCCAAAGCCTGGAATGTCCCCAGCCCTGCTGCTCCACTCCCAGGGCCTTGGAACTCCTGCTAGGCATCTGGCTACAGCTCTTGCCTTCTGTCCCACCGCCCCCACCCATCTTGTCCAAGCGGTGGGGTGAGGGGGTCTCCTGAGCTGGTTTCTGTGCAAATCTGAGTCTTGGTGGCTGCCCAGGACCTGCTGAGGTTGCTGGGTCAGGCACTGGTGAGAGAACCTGACAGGAAAGAAGGGGAGCCACTCTGAACCCCAAACTTAAGCAGGCCCGTCTGGGCAGTGGCCCCCCTACCCCTTCCATCCCATCTACAGCACCACGCCCCATGCAGCTTCCAACTGACCAGATTTCACCAGAGGACTGGAGGGGAGACTGAGGTGCAGACTCAGGCTGGAGCCTCCCAGGGGCTCCAGGCCCCCCACACTGTCTCACTGACCTCCAGGAGTGCGGGTGGGGGAGACCAGATGTAGTAGGCAAGCTGGGTGGAGTCTGAGATGTGACCTTGGCCACAGGCCTAGCTGAGACTTTCTCTCAGGACCTTGTCTTGGCCCCACTTAGGCCTGTGACTCAGCCAGTGATGAGCAAGGCTTTCCTGACCCCAGCAGCCACCCAGCCTTACTCAGGGACACCACCCAGACTGCACCAGGATGCACCCCTGAACCCCCAGTAATACCCAGGCAGCCAGCCTTTTGGTCTGGCCCACTGGCCTGGCATCCCACCTCACCCAGGTGGCAATGCTTTCTCCTCCAGAGGGGTTCCCTCTTTCCCCTACCCTTGCCTTCTTTGGCTCCAGGGAATATGAAATTGAGAAGCCTTCAGCCATGTGGCCAGGGTTTGGAAGGTCCTCACTGCCTACAGTCTGTGGAACTTCCTTTGTCGCCATCTTGGTTCCTACCCTCTCTCAAGAAAGGGGTTTGCGCCCTCTCTCTCTCTGTCTCTCTCTGTCTCTCTACCAGTAGTGCCTAATATTAAGCATGTGCTGAATTAAAGCTGACAGAAGATCTCCCCTCAAGTTTATATTTACCTCATTTAATCATCTCGTTCTCAGCCTGTTCCTAAGCTGTAACCCCCTATAATAGCCCATATTCAACGAAAAAGACAAACCTAAGTGTCCACTCTGGGACTTTCAACAGCAATCTAGACACTATGGCGGCCAGAGCTGCCTTCCTCCTCCAGTGTAGTGCCAGAGTGCAACAGGATCCTTCCTGCCTCGGTGAGGCCATTGCATGTGTGGCTCCAGCTGCCTAGAACACTCTCCGTCGCCCTCACGATCTACTAGCATGAGTCCCTCTTGCCCTCTGGGAATCCATTCAAAGCCGTCTCCTCTAAACGTGTCTTCTGACCATTCAAATTAAAGTTGGTTACCACTGTCCTTTCTCAGTGCCCTGACCATCTCCTTCCCTGCACAGTTCATAGTCTGAAGTCATCACGGGGTGACTCCCACCAGCCTCAGGAGCACAGGGAACATGGCCTCAGGCATTCACATCATATCATGGACAGCCAGGACAGTGTCTGCTTCACATCCAGAGACCGCAGACCACAAGGCATAGAAGAAAGCCTTCCTTCAACAGACCAGCTGCCCCAGAGCCACAGCTGGACGAGAGTGCCCTGTCTGCGGGAATGGTGAAAATCTGTCCTTTCTCCGGCAGACCCAGCCCTGTGCCAAGATGCACGGGCTGTTTCCTATGATCTTTTGGTTAGATGCCCTTGACAGTGCATGGCACACATGACCATACAGGGTGTCCCTGTCACAGAGTGGACAGATACTCGGCTACCACCCACGTGTGGAGGACAAATAGAGATGTCACTCACTGGGCGATCACAGTACAGGGTACTGAGTGCTCCCACTTGCCCCTGGCAGTGGCATGGGTCAGAACTGGGGAAGATGACTTGTCCTCACATACAGAATGCAGGTAGCAGGTCCCAGCAGGTCAGGCATGGCCAATCCCCACTCAAGTATCTGCCTTCACCTGAGGCCTTCTTGCTGAGGTTCCTCCAGAGAAAGCACCTTTCCATTCTTGGTCACCTTGCACAGGTTTTCTCTCAAGGAAGCAGTGTCCTTGCTCTGACTTGAAGCCCTCCTGTTGTCATTTGAAGCCTGGCCACCCATTCTGCTGGCCTCTCGTTTCCCAGTTCGGTGACAGTCAGTGTACTACAGAAAGGGAAACCAAGGCAGCCAGCCCCTAAGGTGCTATTCCTGCCTCTGTCACCTCTGCCACCCTGCGGGTCTGATTCATGTAATCACCTAGTGCTGATTTGCAATGTCACCCGAAGGTCCACACACTGAAGACTTGGTCCAGCCCGTGATGCCACTCAGAATGAAAGAACCTTTAGGAGGTATGGCCTGGCGGGAGGAGGTTAGGTCACTGGGGGCGTGTCCTTGACCCTGGGACCTTGGCCCCTTGTGCTCTCTGTTTCCAGGCCTCCTCTGCCATATATATCATCCATGACATTCCCCCAACAGGCCCAGAGCAACAGGACTAAGTGACCATGGACTAAAACCATGAGCCAAATAACCTTTTCCTCCTTTAAGTTAATTTACCTCAGGTATTTTGTCACAGTGATAAAAACCTAATAGAATGGAATTATAGAAATGACAGTGTGTGGATTCTGAGACACAGCCGTGAAAGGCATTGTGACTTTGGCTATGGCCTCTTGGGTCACTCACCCTGAGGGAAGCCAGGCACCCTGTTGTAGGACATTCTAACAGCCCTGTGGAGAGGGCTGTGTGGTAAGGAGCTGAGGTCCCTGCCACCAGCCAGCACCTGCTCACCACTCTGTAGGTGGACATGGATCTTCAGTCCCAGTCAGGCCTTCAAACAGTGTAGCCGTGGCTCACATCTTGACTCAGCTTCCTTAGAGACCCTGAGCCAGAAGCATCTGACCAAGTCGTTCCTAAATTCTTGACTCTCAGAAACCCTGTGGAATGAGCTAGGTGTGCCATCAAGGCCTGTGATCCCAGCTACTCAGAGGCTGAGGCAGGAAGACAGTAAGGCCAGCCTGGGCAACTTAGTGAGACCTTGTCTCAGAATCTCAAAGTAAAAAAGATTGGGGGTAAAGCTCAAAGTTCACTGAGTGTAATCCCCAGTATGGGGATAGCTATGTGTGATGACAATTCTGTATTTGTTTTAAACAACTAAGTTTAAGTCATTTTCATGCAGCAATAGATAACTAGTATAGAAACCAGAACACAGGATCCCTCAGGAAGCAAAGGACCCGTAGCTGGTGGATGCTGAGACCTAGACCAGCGAGCACTATCTTCCCATCCCTACCTTGCTCCTCTAACTCCTCTCCCCTTTCCTCACTCTACTATCAATCATTGTGTCCCAAGAGGTAACTCCAAAGAGCTGTTAAGTCTCAGCCTTTCAGCTCAGTTCCCAACTATGTACCAGTTTGCACCAGGGAGCCTTCCCCAGCCTGGACTCCCGACCAGTCTTATCTCCCTGTGTCTTAGTCACTTTCTCATGGCTGAGACACAATACCCAGCACCTAGGAAATAAAACAGAAAAGGTTTCTTTTGGCTTGCATTTACAGTCCATGGTAGGCTGGCTTAGGTAGGACACAGTGGCAGAGGCACATGACAGAGGAAAGCTGCTGATGGCTAGGCAGACAGGAGGCAGAGAGAGCGACTGAGAGAGAATCCTGGGAGGCAGATAAACTTCCAGGCCACACTCCCAATGACCTGGTTCCTCTAACCAGGGTCTCACCTTCTATAGGAAGTCAACTGTGAGCTCTAATACTCCCACCTATGAGTACATGAGGCCCTTGGGGGACAGCCACCTAGATACAAACTATAGCATTCCATCCCAAAAGACTCATGTGCATCTCTGCATACAAAATGCATTTGTTCATTACTAAGAGTTGCCAAAGTCCTAACAGTCTCAGCATTGCCATAAAGTCCAAGTCCAAAGTCTGAGACTCAAAGCAAACTCTTAGCTGTGAGCTGTGTAAAAATCAAAAGGAAAATTAAACACGGCTGACATACAATGGTCCAGAGTAAACATTCCTATTCCAATAGAGAGAAACAGGAGGCTGGAAAACAATGGGCCCAAACAAGACCAAAGCCCAGCAGCGTAAACATTACATCTTGTAGTCCCACGTCAAGCAAGCTGCAAGTGAGATGCACTCTAAGGGCCTGGGCAGCCCTGTCTCTACAGCATTACTAGTGATTGTAGCCCTCATGCCTTCTCTCTTGGGCTGGAGATATTTCATGTTAATGGTTTCTCCAGCTTCCTGGAGCTCCACTGTGCCTTCAGCTTCACCATCAAAGCTTTATATACTGCCTTCTCAGGGCACATTGCCTGGCTTCCCAGCCCTTCTTCTGAAATCTGAGTGGAAGCTTTCCTGACCCCACAACTCCGGCATTCTGCATGTGCCTAAAACCAGTAACACATGGATGGTGCCAGGGTCTGCTGCCAGCTCAAACAGTAGCCAGAGCCCCTTGCAATGTGACTGCACTGGCTTGAGTGCCTGGATGGATGAGAAAGATAAACTGAATCCTTGGAAATCAATGTCCTAGGCTATTGTTTTTCTCCAGCAGGGTATCATAGGGCTTTCTTTTCAAAGCAAGGTCTTTCACTTGTGCAGCATTGAGACTTAGGAAGGGTGGGGTCCGGCTGGTTCCTGTGATGCATCTTTTCTATCATCCTGTTATAAAGTACTTGGCTTCTTTTCAATGCTAATCTTTCTGAAAATAAAGCTTTCCTCTGTTCCATCTTTGCCTGTGCTTTCTTTCTGGCAAAACTGAAAAAAATTTTACATGGACTGTTTGTTTCTGTTTCTTACAGTATATCTCCCTAAAGGTTTGAAGCAGTAACCATGCTACTGCCTGAACATTGGACTGCTTCAAAATTTCCTGTGTTGGGGCTGGGGATTTAGCTCAGTGGCATAAGCACCTGCCTTGTAAGCAGGCGGTCGTGAGTTCGATCCCTGGTACCGGTAAAAATGAAAAAAACAAAAAAAAAATTTCCTGTGTCAAATTAATTAGTGCATCACCCTTAATCTCAGTCTCCCATAAAATCCCAGGACATGAGCAAAATGTAAAAATGAGCCAAAATAATTTTTCCACCAGAGAGTAACACACATGGCCTAGAGTCCAACTGTTAATGCAGTCCTCTCCAGCTTAAGCCTCCTGCTCTTTATTGTCTGAAGTTTTGCACACATTCTGAGCTCTGATCAGAATCTCCCATACTGCTCAGCTTACAGCATTCTAGGGCTGCTTTTCTTCCTGGCATCTCCAAACCTTTCCAAACTCTCACAAGCCAGTTCCAAAAGCTTCTAAACCACATGGTCATGTAGCAGCAGGCAACCCCACTCCCTATACCAATCTACCTTAGTTATTTCTGGTTGCTGAGACACAATACCCAACACCCACAATGTAAAGAGAAAGGTTTTATTTTGTCTCATGTTTACAGCATATGATTAGCTGGCTTTGGTGCAGGATGGCACAGCAGAGAGACATGGCAGAGAGGAACTGCTCATGGCATAGTGGACAGGAAGTGGAGTGAGATCAAAGGAGGAGCCAGGAAGAGACACAAACACTTCCAGCCCATGACCCCAGTGACCTGCCTCTTCCAACTAATTCTAATTGCAAGTCAGCTATAAGCCCTCATCATCACCTTCTAAAAGCCGTGCCTATGAATTCATGAGACTCTTGGGGGACTTAGAACTAAACCATAATATCCTGCAGTCAACACATCATTCTCAAAAGCAAACAAGCCACGTCACATTCCTACCTCGAAGCTTTTATCCACTTCTGTGCCCCTTGCAATACCCTGCACCACTTGGTCTTGCCTCCACTTCCACCCGATGCTCTGATGGTTTGTGCCATACAAGACTTTGAGCTTGAAGCTTTGAGTCTTTGAGTCTTTAAGGAGTGGGTTAGGAATGGTGAGCTCATATAGACCCTCCAAGACCAAATCCCCTCAACAACACATGACAAGGGACCATCTTGGAAACACAGGCCAGGCTAACAGTAAACCACAACTCCACTGGCACCTTGCTCTTAGGCCTGAGTGAGTTGCAATAAAAGTGAGTTGCTTATAAATTACCCAGCTGAAGGGATTGTGTTATGGCAGCACCAACACACCAAGACATCCACATCATCACGATTGCCATCTTCCTCTTTCTCCCTCTGATCCAGGAAGGGGAAAACCTAGGTTCCAATTTGAAAATGCCCCAGAGCTGCTGGGGAAGCACCTGGCCTGAGGTGCAGGAATGCCCCCCTCCACAGTGCCATTTCTCCTCGTGGGTGGTGCAGGGAGGAACAAGGTGGGGAAAGCCCAGAGCCCAGGCTTCTAACATCCCTGGAGTGCCAGAGTCCTCCCTGGATACACATCCTGGGGTCAGTGCCCCATGGTAGGCTATGGTCTCCCTGCTCCTTCCAAGGTGCTGCAATCACAGCCCCCCTCGCCTAGTGTCCCCTGTGCCAGTGCCTGCCAGGTGGGGGCCCCGAGGAGCACCCCTGTGAACCTCAATCTTGTAGGAAACACCAGGAGCCTATGTCTGCCTGTGGGGCTGGCGCTGCCTCCTACTGCAGGAGCAGAGTCAGCACAGACAGCCGCAGTGGGGAGGGGTCTGGGGTACCTGCTGGGGTGGAGAACTGCACCCTGGCCCAGCCTTTTGCTCTGTTCCCGGTCAGCTGTGCAACTGAACTCTGTCGTAGGTTGGCTTCCTGCCTCTCAGGAACACAGGAAGCCAACATTGTTGGGATTTAAATGGCCTTTTCCTCCTGGGCTGGGGTCAGAAAATGAGCACATAGCCCCAGTGTGCACCTGACCCAGGCAACAACCATTAGCACACCCGGCCCAGCCACGCACTCATTTACCAGGCTACACAGCCTTCCTTGCCTTATGTGGTGGTTAATCTTATGTGTCTACTTGGCTGGCCCCCGGTACCTAGATGTTTTGCCAAACACGATTCTAGATGTTTCTGGAAGGGTTTTTTTTTTTTTTTTTTTTTTTTTTTTTTGTAAGATTAACATTTAAATCAACAGCTTCAAGTAAAGCACTTAACCTCTGTGGTGTGGGTGAGCCTCGTCCAATCAGTGGAAGGCCTTAAGAGAAAACACTGACCTCCTCAAGCAAGAGAGACTTCTGAGTATGCTGCTTTGGAGCTTGAAATGCAAGTCTTCCGCGGGTCTCCACCCTGCCAGCCTACCTGCAGATATTGCACTGACGAAGCCTTCATAATCAATGAGCCAGTTCCTTAAAATCAACCTCAGTCCGTCCATCTGTCTGTCTCTAGCCACACACCTTGCTCACTCTGTGTCTCTGAAGCAGGAATAAGAAGAAACTCTAGAACATCCTGTCCCGTGTTTCAGTTTTCTTTTTACAGCCTCTCGCCTCCTGCTGACGGGCCCTCCTGAGCCACCTGAGGGACAATTAGCTTAGGACTTAGGGCCAACATGCCGTGTCCTGGGTCACGTTTCGCCTCTTTTCTTTTCTGTTGGTACCAGGGATCGAACTCATGACCTTGCGCTTGCCAAACAGTGTCATGCCGCTGAGCTAAACCCCGGCCCCATTTGGCCTCTCTTATCCTCACAGTGACATGACGAGGGAGGCACTGCTGTTTGTCCCACGAGGTGAGGAAACCAGGCTCAGACATTTAGCGCCCTGGTCAAGCAAAGTCCTCACTAGGAAGGGTCCCAGCTAGGATTTGAATCCAGGACATCTGAGCCAAGGCAAAACCAGCACACATATTTAACTCCTAAAACCACAGCTGCTTTGGCTGAAGTGGGCAGGGTTTCCAGGGGGTTCCAGGTCCACTCTTTCCTACTCTTCTGGGCCCCAAAGCACCTCCAGGGATCCTACAGCTCCTTCGGAGCACCGGCTAGAACCTAGGTGCTATCCCAACCCCCATACATAGAAAGGGAAAAATTAGGCCCAGAGAAATTAAGTGTCAGATTTGAGCTCACACAGCCAGGCGGTGGCCAGCCAAGGCTCAAAACCAAGGGTCTCCGAGCCTACCAGGACGGCCCTGATGGCTTCAAGATCTTCAGATACAGGAAGCTGGGCTCCCCGGTGACGTAATGGGGAAAAAGGTTCCCTGAAACGAAGGAGGGCTCTGGCTAGGCCTCCTGCAGAAAGGGCTGCCTGTCTCCCCAGGTGCACCCGGCTCTGAGAAGCAGCAGGTGGCTGCTCTCCACTTTTGGAATGACCAGAAAGTACAGAAAGGAAGTGGCCTTGGCCTAGGCCCCAGACCAGCCCCAGCTGGCAGCCCTCGGACTCTGGAGCTGGCATTTGGGTCTCCCCTAGGGTTTTAGCCTACTGGAAGGATAAGGGTCTGTGCAGGGGACAGTGATGGATGAGGCCAAACTGGTGAAGGCTCTGAGTCCATCCAGTCTCCTCGAGACTTTTCCAAAGCACTTCTTTGAGTCAAAGAAGGAAAACTTCTACAATTCCCTCAAAACCCAGGCTGCATATGCCTGCTATGCTGAAGCCCAACAAAAACATCTCTGCTAGCCCAGAGACAGCATTTCTTATGCCTCTCTGCATTAGCTTTACCCCTGTCCATGTGTGCTCATGACTCCCTATATGTCTGCCTTCCCAGGAAAGTGCAAGATCTTGACCCCAGTACCCAGTATAGTATCTGACCCAGAGGACAGCTCAATCCATGAGCATGTGAGGGAGGCGTGGGTGTCTGGAGGGGAGAGGAAGTCTATGCTGGGAAAACCACCCAGCCTTTGCAGATGTTAAAAGGAAATTTTCCAGGTCCTCCCACCCTTTGGGCTTCAGAGGGGTTCCCTGGTCCCGAGCTGGCATTCTCACAGGAGGAAACTGAGGCCCAAACTGCTAAGAGACTTAGCCAAGGTCACACAGGACACCCAGGGCCACTCTCTTCCCATGGCCTCATCCATCACCGTCCTCTGCACAGAGCCTGGGCCCTAACATTAGCACCTATCTTACAGCCACACACAGAACCGCCCATACCTACCACAGGACTCCAGGTGATGCGGGATGGGGTTGGCTGTTCACAGGCTCAGGATGGCAAGGGCTCGCTGAGCCTGGGTGCCTCTGTGCATGCATCGCTGTCCTGCCTGTAAGTCCCCACACTCCTAGCCTGCCTTGCTTGTCTCTGAGTGCCCAGAACCAAGGTTAGACTCTCCCACCCCAACCGTATCACATTAACCAGAGACACAGGGAGAGGGGAGCAGAAAAACAGCCCAAGCCGCTGGTGAGCAACCAGGGGAAGCCAGTTACTGAGTCTTTATGTATCCTGGGCTTCCCTCTGGCAAAAGTACACTCAACAGTACAAGCAATGGGGACAGCAACTCTTGAGCCTTGAGTTCCAGGCAGTAATGCAGATGCTCACCATGTGAGAGCCGAGACGTGAAAACAGGAGGGGACCAGAGAGCACAGCAAACCCAGTCGAGCTCAGAGAATGAAATGTAGGTGAGAGTTTAGTGCATCTTTAGCCTCGATGCCAGTGGACAACTTCTAGGTATAACCATACCTGTTGACACTGGATGGAAGGACAGATGGATGGGACAGATGATATGATGGACAAGGGATGGGATGGATGGATAGATGGCCTGTCCACCTCACACCACCACAACCTCTTGGTTCCAAAGCACAGAGAAGTTGCTCATTCCTTCCTCTCCCGCCAGTAGCCCAGGGACTCTGAGCAGGCCTAGAGACCCCTGTCCTGCTGAGAGTGCACACAAGATCTGTGGAGCCCAATCTTCCCTTCTGCCTTTCTGCCTGGCCCCTGCACCTTCTGTGGCCCAGTTCTGACACCTAGTGGTGTTTCTGGAGCGTAGCCCTAACTTTCTCCGCTTTTCCTATCAACCCTGGACCTATTACCAGTGCCCAGCTAGAGCTGCCAAACAAGCCTGGCCAATCCCACAGCTCTGCAGTGGTTCACACCAGCAGAGCCTGGTTGGGATCCGGATGAAACTGGAGCCATCTCTCACTCACCTTGGAAGCCCTGCATGCACTTGAAAGTCAAATGTCCTTGTCAATCTGGGCCCTCAGGCCGGGTAAGCCATGGAACACGTGCCACACATATGGAAGCCAAAGGAAACAGCAGTCACAAATGTGCCCAAGACCACAGAGAGAGTCCCCAGGACTTCCTTCTCCTCTACCCTTGCTGCCTCCTATCTCAGCAGCCCTGAGGTCACTGGGGAGAAGGGAAGACACCAGAGACAGAAAGGAACTGGCAGGACAGAGGATCACTGAAAACCGACTCATGCAGCCCCGAGGCATGGGCCAGGGTGAGGGGCCAGCTACACAAACAAAATCCAGATGCCAGTCCTCAGAAATCCCCATGGGGCTCACGGGAACTCACCCAACCCACCTGCAAGTTCCAGCCAGGACTCTTGAGAAGAGGGTGACACCATGTGGCTGATTTTGCCACTGCAAGAATTCCAGTTGCCAACTGAATGCTAGGTGTCCCTGCTTTGCTAGGATTCAGAACAATAGATAACCCTCTGCCCTTTGCCTGCTAAGGGCTCCACACACTCACAGTGGCTCTCGACTGAACACTTCCCGCCTAACACTCCTACCTCCAACACGCAGCTGAGATGTGCTGACCGACTCCCCCACCCCCAGGCGCAGAGTCTAAAAGCTCCTCTCAGCCCAGCCAGCCATGGGCTTTGACCAGTGATGTGACCCGTGCCGGCCCCAGGTTCTTCATCTGTAACACGGGGAGAGCAACGCCTTCAGACACTGTAGCTGGATGGGACCATGCATGCGAGTGCTTTGTCCCCAGTGGAGCTTCAGAAACTGTCCCTAAGGCTGGATGCCAACCTCCTAGCCTGGCATGGAGGGAAGCGTGCAGGAGAGAGAGGCCAGGTGGGAGAGCCAAAGAGCAAAGTCTCCAGGGTAAGAAAGAGCGTGTCCTAGTCAGCCTAAGTGGCATTCTCAGCCTTCACAGGACTTGCCTAGGCCACAGCTAGTTTGAGTATGGAGCACAGGGCAGAGAGCTAGGCGAAGGCTGAGCCCTCCAGGCCTCACGTCCCTGGGAAAGCTGTGCTGTGTGAAGGCCCCAAGGTTTTAGTCAAGGAAGTGACGTGGCCAGATTCACACTTCTAGGTCCCACCTGCAGCTGCCGTGGAGGGCGACTGCAGAGACCAGTGACCAGGACAGGCAGGGGCTGCTGCCAGCCATGCAGACCAGAGATGAGGACTGCTGAATTGGGGGACAGATGCTAGGTTGTTCTGGGGATCCTGGCGATTGGTGGCATGGACAAAGGAGAGGGCACTTGAGTGGGTAGTGGCACTGGCTAGAGAAAGGGGTGCAGGGCCTCCTGACGATTTCCTGGTGTGGCTTGGCTTCTCTGTGACAGTGACTGCCACACCCCAGGCCCTTCCAGGAGTTCATGGAAACAGAGGTTGGGAAAGCTGGGCAGCCATCAGGTCCTACACTGACTCCGACTCCGACTCTTAAATTCCCCCCAAATTGTCACTAGGGGAGGACTGTGGCTTGGTTTCTTTGCAGCACAGCCAGTGCCAGGCACACATCAGCCACACACCCTCCCACATGCTAGGAACGTGGCCCCTACAATCTGTCCACCTCACACACACCACCTTCTCACACACTCCAGCTACATGCCACTCACACATACCCCTATGCTCCCCATACACCTGCCATCCACATGTGTCAGACCTGTCACCTTCACACAAGCTACATGTCATTTCCAAGCCCACCTGCCACATGCCAGCCACACCCCCACACGCGTGCATCCCATGCTAAGGATTTTGGCCTCCTGCCCCAGATGAAAACCAGGCTCAGGTCAGGGCCACAAGGCCATGTGTCCAGCACAGATCCACCTGCCCAGGTGGCCATCTCCTTCTTCCTGAGAACAGCCCCCTGAGCCTCAGGCACCAGCACTCACCTTTGCAGGTGCAGCCCTCCCGGGTGATGGCCTGGCGGCAGATGCCACAGGGCTTCACCTTTTTGAAGGTCTTCACCTTGAAGTGGTGGCTCTTGGGGGCCTCCAGATCCTCTGGCTGTGGGAAGAGAGGCACAGGCATCAGGCAGGGTGAAGGCTGGGGTCTTTGGAAGGAATCAGGGGCTCTGGAGAAGCAGCAGGTAGGAGGGAAAAGAGTAGAGAGGGACAAGCCTGCTTGTGGGTTGCAGAAAGAAGGAGGCGCCCAGGGACAGACAGCACTGAGCAGGTGACAAGATGCTCACCCCAGACTCCCAGACTTGCATGGATCAGAGATCAGGGTTCACAGAGCAACCAGAGGCCTCAGCACCCACGGACAGCAGAACCCTCCATGGCTTCCCATCCACCACTTTTACTGCTTCTTTATTGGGGCATGAGTGACACACAGGAAAGGGCACAAAGTTTAAATGTCAAAATGGATTACTAATTGGGCTGGGGCTACAGCCCGGCAGGAGGGCATGGTGAGGCTTTGAGGTCCATCCCCAGGATTCCTCCCAAAAGCATTGCTTAATATACCTTTACGATTATGCACCCCATGTGGCCACACCCAAAAAGCTCCCTCATGTCCCCTGCCAGGCGGGCCTTCCCCAACATAAATGCTGCTGGGACTTCCCTGGCCCAAGAATCTTTTGCCAGGTTTTTAAACTTCACAGCAGTGGACTACACAATATGCTGTCACGTGCAACTTCCCTCACGAAACAGTGATCTGGGAGAGCATCTGTGCTGTCACAGAAAGCAGCTGCTCCTTCTGTCTCAGTGTGTGTGGCATGCCACTGTCTGAATGATGGTCCCGGGCTTCGCCCGCCCATGTCCCCAGCATGCCTTCCTCCCAGGCCCTCTCCATCCCCAGCCCAAGAGGCCTTTTCCATCTTTATTTTTGTCCTCTATTCCTTGCACAGCTCTTTTCCACAAGGCTGGGAATCAAACCCAGAGCTTCATGCATGCTAAGCTCTCTCTGTCTAACAGTGAACTCTACCCCAGTTCTGGGCAAACATGGCTAAGTTCCTGCTTTAAACTGCACCACCTTGCACATGAAAGGACAGGCCTATAGCCCAAGCCATCTACTATATCCAACTTTCCCGGACCCCTAGGCCATCCCTTCACAGGCCTCAGTTTCCCCTGGGGAGCAGTACCCCTCTGGAGCTCTGAGAGTCTCTCCTTTGTAACATGCAGTGAGATCACACCCCGGGCCACAAAGCCCTGCATGTCACTGCCCACCCTACATCCCAGCCCAGGCACAGACTGGGGGTGCTCCCTGGTCAGAGGACCCCCAGTCTGTGTCTGGGCTGGCATTCCAGAATCTCAGGTATCCCCCCAGTGTCTAAACTGCTCTTTCCCTGCAGAGGCTGGAGGGATGCAGCAGTTTCCCCTCACCTCTCCCAGGCACAACGTTTCTGACATCCCCCTGCACTGGCATGGGCACACGCATAGGCACATGCAGAGACAAGGTCGCAGACACTGCCATGTGGGCAGGAGGCCGCCACTCTTCAGCGTCCCTGGTGTGCTTCTAGCTCTAGCATCTCCCATCCCTGAGGCGGGGGTGGGAGGGATAACTGCGCACTCAAAGGACCAAGAATGGGGGGTCTCAGCATATTCATAAAGGACCACCAATTGGGGACACTGTAGAAGGGAGTCCTGAGGGGAAGAGACAGAGCCCCTGAGACAGAGAGGGACTGGGGTGAGGAGGCAGAGAAAGAGAAAAGACACAGAGAGGCAGGCAGGGGGGGGAAAGCAGACGAAGATAAAAGCAGAGACAAAGGAAGAGACCAAAAAGTACACACAGTGAGAGAGATTAGATAGAAACACACAGAAACTAAGAGGGGAGCCGGAGGATCAAAGAGGGAGGCAGACAAAAAGACACCAGAGCTCCTAACTACCAAATCCGAGAACATCTAAGCACCAAAATACATAACGATAGTAATGGCTTAAATGAAGCCATTGTATTATAAAGAAACGATGAACAAATGGAAGGTTGATGCGAAATGGAGCATTTTTGTAGTCTCAGAGCACTTTCCCCCACCATACTCATAAATTACAGAGTGAGTGGGGGCGCCTTTTCCTGGCAGTCACCACTTCAATCAAATAATCAAAGTGATCGCCAGTAATGGGACAAGAGCAAGTCGTGCGCCGGGGAGGGAGGACTGAGAACAGAACATCGCTTCTGCGACTCTCCTGCCAAAAATCTAATCAAGGGAAAACACCGGGCCAAACTGAGGGGCAGTCTCCGAATTAAATGCCCTGGAATCTTCCAAGTGACAAGGTCACAAAAGTCAAGGAAGCCAGAGGAGATTTCTAGACTGAAGGAGACTCAAAGACATGACAAGTCTATCATGCAGCTGCTGGTTCTGAACCGGATGCTTTCATGCTCTTAAAGGACAGCGTGGGGACAACTGGACAAGCCTGCATGGAGTCTGAGGGTTAGGCTGTAACCTAGCATTCGCATCAATGTACTAATTTGGGTTGACAAACGCATTGGTAAGAAAATAAGGAAAATATTTAGGGGTGATGGAGCATCACATCAAAATAGCCCAGGAGTAAAAAGCTCTCTGCACTGTGCTGTAAACTTTCTGACCTTTGAGATTGTTTAGAAATTCAGAGGGACCAGAAAAGAAAAGAAAGTAGAGGGAGAGAGCAGAAGACCCCAGGACCCCAGCAGTGCCCCCTGGCGGCTGCAGGGATTGCCAAGTCACCCTGGCCAAAGCACCCAGGAGCTTCTGCAGGCGTGTGGTGATGGGCATGTGGCATTGCCCAGTCCTTGGCTTCCCTCTTGTGGCCCCACCCCACAAGAGGGGACGAGAAGTCCCCTCCACTCTGCTGCCTGCCCCCGGCCCCGTTCCCGTCTCTGCTGGCAGCCTTCCCAGCAATCTCTGTCACAGACGTTCCAGGGCGGGGCCCAGCCCCACGTCAACTGCAGCAGCCCTGGCCTGGGCAGGGGAAAGAGCAGACAGGGAATTGAAGTTCTGATTAAGGGTTATGTTACAGGGCCCTCCAGGAAACCCCAAAACATCCCTGAGTCTGCTCTCCCGCCCCACTGAGCCCAGCAAAACGTCTCATTCTAGTGTGTCCTCTAAACTCCTCTCCCCACTTCCCAAACCCAGCACCTCCCCTGAAACCCAGGGAAGAGCTTCGCTCCAGAACACAGCAGGAACAGCGGAGTCTCCCAGGAGGCGAGGAGCAGTCAGTCCACTGGGCAGATATGCAAGAAGTAGAGCCTTCCAGACTGTTCCGCGAATGCTCGGTTTGCCCACTCAGCCCCACAAAATCTGAGTTTACAAAATCACCCTGCCCTGCAGGCCAGGGTTTAGATACTCTCTGACCTTGCTCATGCCACACGAAGCAGCACCTCCCTCCCCTGGCTGCCTCAGCACACTCCAGCCCTCACCCCTACCCTGCCCTGCTCTGCTAAGGAAGCCCTGGGACCAACATCTAAACAGCATCGCTGGCCTTCTCTGGGGCTCTAAGTCCAGTCAGTCCGAGTCGGAGGGAGAGTAGGGAATGTGTCCCTTTAGAATGGAGGGACTGGGCTATGCTGATGGTTACAAAGAGCAAGAGGTCTGAGAAGACATTGTCCCCTGCAGAGATGCTGGAAGACACGACAGGGGGAAGAAGCCCAACTCTGCCATCCCTGTGAGTGGTCCAGGCTTCCCTGTGATGAAACAGTGTCAAAGGGCCTTGGGGACAGTCACCACGTAGGTTTAGATGTCCCCAGGATGCAGGAGGAGAGTCTAAGGTAGGCTGACTCCTTCAGATATTTTAGGGAGCTGTCCCTGAAGAATGGACCACGAAGGACACGTGAGGGACCCAGGCCAAACAGATGGGAGGCAGAGCTTGACCAGGGGCAAATCCGCAAAACCCCAGTGGTAAAATCTGGGCTGTTGGGGGCCATCCCTGTCCTCCCTGGGGTGCTTGGCAGGTACAGGCCTGGCATGCAAACGAACCCCATGAAGTAAACGAGCCCATAAACACAAAGCCATGCAAGGGCAATGACTTGTTTCAACAGTGAGCATTTTCCTAACAAGTGGCAGACAGCCCCGTGGAGCTGAGCCCTTGGCCCTGCCCCTCCTGGGCTACTAGAGAGACTCAGGGGCAGAGCAGGGCACAGCCACAGCAGGAGCCACCTGTCCTGTCTCTCCAGCCCACACCCCCTCAGGAGCCAGAACCTAGGGAAGGGGAGGGGTCTAGCTGGGGTCATTCTTCCCTGCCCTACAAATCCACCATGCAACCTCAGGCTTTCTGGGCTGGCCCTCAGGGGCACCCTGGCCTGTCCCTGCCCCCTTTCAGCTCAGCCTGCCAGCCAGCTTGCCCAGCCAGAAGGGTGCGGCACATCTGGCTCCGGCAACCGTGGCGGAAGTCCTTGGCTCTGGATGGGAAAAGCTGCTTACTGGGTTCCTCCCTGCCCCATGGGCAGAGCAGCAGCGGGGTTGCTGAAGGGGGCAGGAGTCCCAGTAATTCTCCAGCTCAGGAGTCACCCCCAAGCACGACCCAGCTCTGCACCCTGCAAGGCTCCCCGTGGTGAAGCAGCCCGGGTAACATGAGGACAGAGCAGAAGTCTGCCAGGCAGTGAACAAGACAGCCTGGCAAAGGGGTGGCCGTGAAAGAAGACAGGACAGGCCTGGAAGGTCAGCTCCTGGCTACCCTCCAGCAATGTCCCCTCTAATTAGACTGAGAAGCCTGAGGGGGACTCCAGATTCAACTTGAATTAGGCTTCCCCTACATCTCACCTTCACATAGACACAAAGTTTCTGCCTTCCCCAGGCCTTCGGCCAGCTAGTGGCCTGCCCAAGTTCTTGGTCATCCTGGTGGAAAACTCTGAGTCACTCTCAACGCCTCCCTGCTCTCCCCCACCCTCCAGCCAAGCAGCTGCCAGAGCCCATGACTCCTGCCTGGTTCCCTCCTGCTAATGTCTCTCCTGGGCTGTCAATACTCCTGCCCCTGCCTTGTTTGGGCCCTGTCACTTCTGCCCAGAGCTGTTGCAACAGGCTTCCAGGGCCCTGACATGGATGTGCCCCTCCAGATTCTCCACTGTCCACATGGGGCCACTTTTGCCTCCCCTGCCTGATC